ACCCACCACCACCAAAAACAACAAAACAAAACAAAACAAAAATTAAAATTCTGTATCAGCATCGTAATAGAACATCTGACCTGGTAACACAATTATTGGGGTTCATTATAAGTTGGCGATGTACCTTCAATATATTTTACATAATGGTCTTGGCTTTGCTTGCTTTGTTAGTTCCCGTGTTTGAACGCTGTGACCAAACTGACACTGCAGCCTCTTTTTCCCGACTCCACAAAAAAAGGAAGTGAAAGGTAGAACAAATTATTATGCAAACAAAATTAGACCCAGTGTAATGATCGCGAATCCTCGTGTCCAGCACAGATTCTGCTTGTTGACCAGCATCTAATGTTACAGGGGAAGAAGTCTCAACACAAACAAAGTTGCTAGTTCGTTAACAAAACAAAATAGAACAGTAAAAAAAAAAACAAAAAAAAACCAACAACACCAACAACAGCAACAACAAAACAAAACAAAGCAATAAACACACACAAAAAACAGCAAAACACATAGATCTCTCTGTTGAAATATTATTATCTTCTAGATTATTTTAAATACAATTCATGAACATGTCTGCGCAGTTTTAAGATTTATGTGTGTGTCTCTCTCTCTCTGTGTGTGTGTGTGTGTGTGTGTGTGTGTGTGTGTGTGTGTGTGGTACTTCGTGTGTGTTTTATAGTCTAATGATTAAGACTCGGCTCAGTGTGTACCTACACTATTTCCCTTTATGGCAGTGAGATTTGATACTTGTGGTAAACAAAACAAATAATTTTATCCCATTAAAGTTGTTGGGATCCGCAAATCATTCTAACCTTTAAGGCCGGGATTTTAAGCGTCTAAACACTTAAATCTGAAAATAAATTACGTTAATGCTGACGCAAAAACATGACTTTGTAGAGAAGTTGGCTCTGGAAACATGTTTTTCTCACTGCGCAAGGATTTGTCCAATAAATGGATGACCCCTACTGCGTGAGCGTCTGGCTAGCGTCGCAGAAGCTGTGTTGTCCACATCAAATATTCAGAAGATTGCCCGCGAGACTGGACTTCGAAGATCCAGGGGAAAAAACCCCAGTCTAGGCCGCTCCGCGCCGTTTGGCTTTCTGAATAATGCATGGGTGATGACGAAACTTAATCAACGAAATGGTTTGAGCTTACTGTTGTCGCAAATGTGCTAGGATGCTTTGGTAAACAGTGGTCATTTCGTATGAAGACGAAACGGCCAATATACTTGCTGTTTCATTGAGGTCATAAGAGTAGCTATGTACTTTCTTAATGCCTGTCTGCTCTGAAATTTGGCTTTACCAATCTCTTTCAACCTGTCTCCCTTTCTCACAGCCTATATTTTGTCTCAATCTTTCTGTGTCCCAGTCGGTAATCCTGCCTGGCTCTGTAAGAGAATGAGACGTAACCCTAGCGTGCTCTCTATCTCCTGTGAGTGTGTGGACGTGTGTTTGTTCTCATGTGCTTGCGCACAAGACAAGGAAGATTATTATTTTCAAAGCTGAAAGGAAAATATACTTTTAAAATTCTGGTTTATATGGTATTTGATGAAAAACAAGAAAAAACCTCATACCAAAAAGAAATGTCTGAAGAAGAAAGCTAGGAATAAATACCAACTACGAAGGAAGACTCAGCTAAGAGACGAGACATTTACTAAATTCTAGATCTCTTAGAAACCGTGAAGCTTCATGAAATATATGTACTTCAATCCTTCTTATAAACCAAAACACTATATAGGTTTTTTTCTCCTGATGAGAATCGAACTCATGCGACCAGTGATCAAAGAGAAAAAAGCCAAAACGTTCTAACACGGACTCTTGTGGCCAAGCCGGTAAAACGGCACCTTGTTTGTTTGTGGAGTCGACGAAGACCATTATTATAGTCATTCATGGGACGGCGGAGAGTGCGCAGGTGGATGGTCCGGCCAATTGACACCGAATAACAAAACACGAACAGGTGATGATGGCATCAGTTGAAGATCTGTTGACGCTGGTCTTTCTGGCAATACTGTATTGATCAACTGCGGCAGTTCTGTTGCTTTTATAAAAATCTTTGTCCCTTGGAGACAACTGATCCCCAGGTGACTAAGTCCTGGGTAATCTGCTCCCATATCGTGTCACTGCCCTTGAAGGCCTTCGGAGGTGCTTTGAGGCTATCTTTGAAACGCCTCCTCCGGCCTCCATGAGAGCGTTCATCATGTTGTAGTAAAACGGCATATAAATACATGCAAAAGGCAACAGTCCAGGCAAACGAAAGCCACTTGTTTGTGATTTTGATTAAAATTCCATTAAGTTGACTCCTATTTTTCATCTACTTGTGGTACAAACCTCTACACTGATGAATATTTGGAACTGACTTTGTCCTTTTAATGGTTTGTCTAAATACGAACCTGTCCGAGGCGATTAATTATTATCAAGGAGAAAGTGGTCATCTCAGTTTCCTGTTCATATCTCATTCCTGCCTATTGACCTGTCGATAATGTATGAAAACGAAACAGAATGGTTTTTTAAAATATATAGATCTAATTTTCAATGCCAACCTTCGCTTTTCTTCTTGTTGACTGCCAGAAGGGAAAGTTCCTTCATAGAACCGAAAGTCACGGAGAAACTGTGAACGACCTCGCCGGCTGTTGTTGCCATGGTGACCACTATCGTGTGCGTGTTGTTGAAGCATGGGACAGCCTCTAGGTACAGGTCACAGTTTGGGAGCACGGGGAGGAAAAAGTAGTCCCCACATGTGTCAGGAGTTGCTAGGAAGAAATGGAAACGGAAAAAGATGCGGGGAAAAGGGGTGGGGAAAGTCGGGGGAGGGGGGCATTGAGAAATTTGGGTTCATTTCTAAAAAAACCAGTATACGTTTAACTAGTTCAGCGAGCCCTAAGGACAACTGAATTCTTCGCCCTTTTCCAAGAAGACAAAATTGCCCAGAGCATTTGACCTAACAGGATAGACCATCATATAAATGCTATTCATTTATGTCACACACACACACACACACACACACACACACACAAACACACACACACACACACACACACACACACACACACACACACTTGCCCTACCCAAACACACACACATTCACACATTCACAGACACACGCATACACTCAAACACACAGACACACTCACACACACTCACACACAATCTCACATGCTGACAAACACACACAAACAGACATATACACACCAACACATACACACAGACACATACACAAAAACGCACACACACACGATCCACACACGGACACATACTAACAGACACACACATATACACACACATGCACACACGCAATTACACACACACACACACACACACACACACACAAACACAGGCACAAACACACACACTCAAGCACACACACGGACGTACATTTTTAAAGCGCTTTTCCACTCCCCTTCTCGAAGAATTTTTTGTCACCTTTGACGACAAAATTGTCTCTTAAACATGATAATATGGGGGGAGGGGGCGGTCCTTCAAGGGACCTCTTGTCTCACGTAGCACAATGGAAGGTGAAATTTATGAGGGGAACGAGAGAGAGAGAGAGAGAGAGAGAGAGAGAGAGAGA